TTTTTAAGTTGTGAAATTATAAAATATATTTAGAGTCTAAAATATTATTTATCAGGTTTGAAATAAATTTTCATATAATAAATATAAGGCGTCTCTACTTGAACAGAGAAGTCCACCCTACCCAAAATCAGTCGGACTTTTATCAGGTAGGATTAAACATCAGACGGCTAAATGTATCCTGTTGATTATTCAGATAGGGGTCTCACAGCAAAGATGTAAACTCATAGTAACATAAATTTGAATCATAAACTCATCATAATATTAAAAATTCTAAAAATATGTGATGCATGGTTAAAATTAAATAAAAGAAAACAAATTGTTCGAATATAATTCAAAATTAATTAATAAAAAAAATTCATCTAACTTGCTTAACTCAGTTCAAAATCAATTATTCAATCGATTTTGACCGAGTGAATGGGTTAGTTTGATTGAGTTCAGGGTATTCCAAGCTAAGCAATTTAAATTTATTTTATTGGCTAAAAACATGAACTAATTAAAATCACTAGTCTAATTAACAACTATGCCCACAATAATAGAGTTTAATTTTCCTAAATAATGGATTGAATTGTTTGATTTGCTCATTTAGTCCAATCATAACAAGTTACTACCTCCAGTCCTAATTATAAGAGCTATTAATTAATTTAAAAAGATTAAGAAAATAGGTTAAGTTAGTTATTTGTAATAAATCAGTGTTATCTTTTCTAAAATATCCTTGCTAATCAAATATATTAGCTAAAACCATCATTATTAGAAGGATTATTTTAGAAAAAATACATAAATATGAGAGACAAATTGGATTGGAGTATCATATTTAAGATTAAAATAAAAATCAAACAAGGTCTTGTATTAAGGGCCAGAGGTAACACCAAATTAACTTTTAAAATACCAAAGTAGAAGGAATTATAATGAAGGACCAAATTTATAAATTAATTATAATGGTCCTAAAATTAGTCACTCACGTAACACAAATTTATAATTTTAAAAAGGGTTATCCCTATTTGTCACTCAAATAATACAAACTTGCAAGTGAAATAATGAATATTTACTATTAGTCATCCTTAAAAATAAAAGATTTGTGAATTTGGCCTTCAAGCATAATTCTCCCTTATTTATATGTTATAGATTTTTAGTGAGTTTTAAACTTCCAATAGAGTAAATCATATAATTTGATCTAGTGAGGGAATCAACGTATACTGGATCAGGATCTACTTGTTCCATACTTAAATTTCAGTATAAAACAACGTTTAATCATTTCGCCGAAGCATCTCTTTTTTCAACCACGATATATATTATTAATAATTATATTGTTATTCCAAAATACAAATTTTTTATCTAAAAATTTTTATTTTATTCTAGCTTACTAATTAAAACTATTACCTAATCGTGATTCTGAGTGGCAACTTTTTACCTGACTTGTATCTTTGATGTGTAATATAAAAATATATTATTGTGAATATTTACTTAAAAATAGTGAGATTTAGTTTAATAATTTTGATTTGGTTCATTCATTAATTAATAATTCATCCCTTTAATTTAAATTATCTTAAACACAATTACGTATGATTGGGATATTTTAACCACAATTGTTATGGACTCATTATATTTAAACCTTTCAAAAAGAGAGTTGTGTAGGTCACTCCTTAATTTCAAGAGTAGAAAGTAGAAACACAATTACCAATTGGTTAAAATTTGGATGTTCTATTAATTTTAAAATAAGAACAAGTTCTTTCAGCTATTTTTGAGGGTTAGCTCCCACGTTAGTGATTGCTTGTTGCCTCTTATTCTATTTTATGCCATATTATTCAAATGAAATGTCAATATTACTCCTGAATGAGGAAAGTAATAATATTAGTCCACGTTTGCCTCGAAAGAGAATATATTTCAAGTAAAATAAAAGACTACCCCACTTGAAAGTGAGGATTTTTAGATAAAATTAAACGGAGCAGTTGCGCAAAAAAATACGCACAGGAAATTTATTTTAAAATTAACCTAAAATACAGTAGTTTAATCTTATTTCTTAAGTGTATCTATTGATATTTTTAATAGTGCATTCTACAACCTAATTGTATCCAACACTTTAACCTTATTTTTTGTACGTTTTGTTATCTTAAACATTAGGATACTAGGTGTGAGTGAAAATATAACATTAGGTGTTAGATGCATTAAAAAAATATTAGAGCATTAAATACATTTGAAAAATATGATTACGATGCTAAATATATTAAGAAAATAAGATAAGAATGTTGAATGTATGTGTACTTTTAAAATTATAATAAATTATGGATGATTAAATAGTATTTGTGAATTCAATGTCAGAAATTGTAAGAGGATTTCAAGGAAAGAATAAGGGAAAATTACAATCAAGTTTCAAGAAAAAAATAATTACTAAAAAGTCCTAATAACAATTGGAGTAGCCTATAATGACAAATTTTAGAACAGAAAATAATAACCCTAAAACTTATTTTATAATTTTTTTCAGACCTTATTCTAATTCTTTCAAAGAATTTTTTTTTTATGACAAGGAGACAAAGCCTTAATAAAACTACAGTCAGATGGCTAGGGCCTAATATAGATGGCCATTAAACAAAGTCTTAATTTAAGAGACTCCTACAATTAGGAGGCGGCTCACGGTAACTCGCATCTCTTCATTTACTATTGATAACTTGTTAATAGTAGTAGTATATCTTATTATAAATATTACTTCTCCAATACTTAATATAAAACCTATTTAACTAATTTGATTAGATTAAAAAAGTTAGGTAAGTTAGTTAATTATAAAAAAAGTGATATATTTTTCTTAAAACACCATAATCATCTTTCTTAATACCCCTTCTCCCTCTCCTACTTGATTATGGTTGAAGGAGTATCTATAGGGATAATTTAGAAAAAACTGATAAATATGATAAATGGGTCTTATATTTAGAACCAAAATCAACTCAAGAATTGAGTCTTATATTAAGGAGTGGAGGAGTACAAATATAAGTTTAATTGTACATATATCGATATATATATTAATAATTTCTTGATTAAATTTAACATTGTGTTCATGGCAAAATATATTGAGTATAAACTTGGCATATGGCAAGCAACATCACTCATGAATTATGATGGAAAATGATCCCAACTATGATCGTCAAAATTTAATTTGAATAGTTCAAATATAATTTTTAATTTATAAGTTTAAATGAAAAATATTGAAAATTATTCTTATTTTATATTTTCTATCTATTGAATAAAAAATTATAAATATATAAAATTAAAATGATTTTTAAACTTCTTATCTTACAGAAATATTATTAAATTTAAAATGCTTAATTTTTTTTTTTGGGGTGAGAGAAGAGGCCTCAGGCCCAATAAAATGCTTAATTTTAATCTAGATGATCTAGATTTATACTCATTATCTCAATGTCTTCATAACCTCTTATGTAGAAAGCAAAATATACAATATTTAAGCCCATAACTTGACATATTATCAAGTAACTCGATTATTAATATAAAGCCTAATTTAAGAGTTGATATTGATTATATATATAAGACCTAGTTCATATATTTATTAATTTTTTCTGAAATCAATGCTGTTTTAGGAGAAGAAAGAAAGGAGGGAATTAAGAAAGATCACTAAGGTGCTTTAGAAAAAAATATTATATTAATTAATTTAATTAATGTTATTAATCTATTCAAATTAGTTAAGTAGATATTCTATTAATGATTGGGGGAGTATTTAAAAAACTATTAAAGGCCATTTGAAGCTAACTTGGCGATAAGAATGAGATGTGATATATTTAGAGGCAAGGGGTTAACCCTCTAATGCGTTAAAAATTTAAAGGCAAACAAACCCGTAAAATTCAAAAATAAGTTTAATTTTTAAAATAGCTTTATTTTTAAATTTAAAATTTCAAAACTTGAATTATTGATATTATAAGTGGCAATCGGTTATCAGAATCACATTTTCACCGAAAGTGAGGCAAAAATAGAAAACAAACGGTTTCACTTTCACGCGATCCTTTTTTTGTCATCTATGACTTGCTAGTTTCGGCATGATTTATGTAGGGCTTTTTTTTTAATCTTGGTATATAAATTTAATCTTTAATTGAATGAATATCTTCCGGTGAAAAAATCAATAAATATCATTCTGGGACAAATAAAAAAAATATTTTAAACTAATAATATTAAATAAGTTGTTCAATTAAAATATTAGATATAAAACTTTTGAATACATAAAAATCATACCCACAGTTTAGGAAAAGATACGAGAATTACAATAAGATCTTAAGTAAAAAAAATAATTAATTAAAAGTTTTAATAACAACTTCAAGAGTTTGTAATAACAAGTTTTAAAATTCAAAAAAAAAATTTAAGATTTATTTTGTTATCATTTTTAAAAGTTAATTGTAATTGTTTTGAAAAATTTTTTTAAAGAATTACAATAAGGTCTCAAAAAAAATTTACAAAATAAGTCTTTATGATTGTAATTTTTCATTCTAGAACTTATTATTATAAACTTCTCAAATTATTATTGAAGCTTTTTAGTAATTTTTTTTGGAAAAACCATATTGAAGGTACCTATGCTTTCTCTCAATTTTTAATTTGGTACCTATGTGTTTTTTTCTTTAATTAAACATTTAATTTTATCTTTTTAGCAACATTAGCTCTTATAACTTTGTTCTATTGATATTTTTAGTCTCTACATAAGGATTAATAATGTTAATAGAGGAAAAATAAAGATTTAGTTAAGAACAAAAAACACATAGGTACCAAATTGAAAATTGAAAAAAAATATAAATACTTTCAATATGATTTTTTTTTTTAAATTTGATTGTAATTTTCGCAAAAGTTTTTGGCTTACCATAAATGCTACTGGTAAAAGTAATAAAGCATTGAAGTTACCAATTTGGGAATAAAAAAAATCCAAACTTTATCAGCGAAGTACACGTCTCAGTGACAATTAATTAGCATGGCCACCTGTTGGTTTTGTTATTTAAGTGTTGTCCCCCAGAGCACCAAGCAAGGTGGTCACTGATTCACTGAGCGTAGAGAGAGAATGGCCCCAAAAGCTATCTTCTTCGTTCTGCTTTGCTTTTCATCAGTTTCTCTCAGTCCTGTTCTTGCAGAGACTGAGCAACATGACGATCCTGGCCTTGTTATGAACTTCTACAAGGAAGCTTGCCCTCAAGCTGAAGACATTATCAGAGAACAAGTCAAACTCCTCTACAAGCGCCACAAGAACACTGCTTTCTCATGGCTCAGAAACATCTTCCATGACTGTGCTGTTCAGGTTCACTTCTCTCTTCACTCGTTCTCTACTAACATTTAGGGTTTTCACTGCTTGACCCCAGATGATTCTTGTTCTTTACTCCCAAGATTTTGCCTTTTTTTTTTTTTTTTGCCTGCTTTGATCTTTGAGTAATGTGGTTTCTGGGGATTTCTGTGGAGTAGAGTTGTGATGCTTCTCTGCTTCTGGATTCCACAAGAAGGACCTTGTCTGAGAAGGAGACCGACCGAAGCTTTGGTTTGAGGAACTTCAGGTACACTGAGACCATAAAAGAGGCTGTAGAGAGAGAGTGCCCTGGGGTTGTTTCATGTGCTGACATTCTTGTTCTCTCTGCGAGAGATGGGATTGTTGCGGTAATTTCTCAATTCTAAGTACCCTTATAACAAGAACAAATGGGTTTAAATCCAGATTTGTCTCTGCAAAATCTGATCTTTTTTTTTCTTTTAGCTGTGTTCTTGCACAGCAGAACAGTTAGAAGAGAGACCACAAAGTTCGGATTTGTTCTGATTCTAGTGTGGTAGCACTCAACTAATTGTTTTTATACATATAAGTTTTCTGAAATGAGTTTGTTGCAGCTAGGAGGACCTTATATTCCACTTAAAACTGGAAGAAGAGATGGAAGAAAAAGCAGAGCAGATGTGGTTGAACAGTACCTTCCAGATCACAATGAAAGCATCTCTGTTGTTCTTGAGAGGTTCTCTGCCATGGGAATCGACACCCCTGGTGTTGTTGCACTTCTGGGTAAACCAAAAACCATGGCTTGTTATAACTGAACTAAGTTTAGCCTAAGTTTTAACCTGTTTTAGTTTCTGGTTTGATTTTGAAGATTTCTACTTAGAAAGTAGATAAAGCACAAGTTCATCCTCTGTGATCTCATATCAGAAAGTATTTTAACACTCATAATAAGTTTTGATATAATCTCTAAGGCATAAATACACATAAAAAACTGTCTTGCATTGAGATAGATATTACTGAATCAGAGAAAAAAACAAACATTTAGATGTGTATGCATTAACTTCTCTTAATAAATGGATGGACCACAACTCCACATGGCTTCACCAGAGTTAAGGATCTGGGGTGAAAGTAATTTTAGATCCAACACTCTTAACACTCTTACTTCCTTTTGTCACTTTAGAGATACTTACGTGTTGCCAGTGGCCTTATAACCCAACCGAGTGGCATAAAAACTCCCTTATAAGTGGGAGGTTGTGGGTTTAATCCTGATTATAACCTCGGGTAGAAATACTGATGAGTTGTGATTTAGATTATCAGAGTTGAAATCACTTACATGCAGATATACATAAGGAATTAGGTTTGTGATAATGATGTTTGTGCTGTGCAGGAGCACACAGTGTAGGTAGAACCCATTGTGTGAAGCTGGTGCACCGTCTGTACCCAGAGGTAGCCCCAGAACTGAACCCAGACCATATCCCTCACATGCTGAAGAAATGCCCGGATGCGATTCCTGACCCGAAGGCGGTGCAGTACGTGAGGAACGATCGAGGCACGCCCATGGTTCTAGACAACAACTATTACCGGAACATACTGGACAACAAGGGCTTGTTGATAGTGGATCACCAACTAGCCTATGACAAGAGGACCAGACCTTTTGTGAAGAAGATGGCCAAAAGCCAGGACTATTTCTTCAAACACTTCTCCAGAGCCATCACTCTCTTGTCTGAAAACAACCCCCTCACTGGCTCAAAGGGTGAGATCAGAAGGCAATGCAATGTTGCCAACAAGCACCATGAGGAGCCTTAATTAAGTGCCTTTTAATATATATACCTCCAAGTTCAGTAGTTCGCTTTCTTCTTCTGTGTGTGTGAGGAAGAGAAGTGCAAGAACTATTCAGAATAAGGTGTTTGTTTCTTTTTAGTTCCTAGCTTTGCTCCTGTACTAGTAGCTATAGTGATAATAATGGTGTATGTATTAATGATGCAAGTGAATGATGACGACAATGTCTGTGACATTCATGCACGCGAAGGCTGTTCATTCACTTACATCGTTAAGAATAAAGTGTTTGTTCTTTGTAGTAGCTATAGTAATGATGGCGTATGTATTTTAATGATGCAAGTTAATGATGATGCGTGAATGTAAGTGAAGATGTCTATGATATATATATATATATATATATATATATATTTATGGGGCTAAAAAAGAAGACAAGAAATTGAGACTGCCTTACATGAAAAGAAACACAGCTGACAAGTAAACATTGATTTGTTTCTTTTCTGTATATAAAATTTATAAAAGCATTGCCAATTCCTAGCAAAAAGAGATCAGGCAACATCAGTGGAAGGTGTCTTCATAATGGTGGGCTCTGTTTTGGTCGCCAGTGGTCATATTTAAAGCTATCACATAATCACGAAGTCCTGGGGCAAGTAAATTTTAAGAGGTTGGCTCAATAGTCCTATTGATACTAGATCTCAAAGTAAAACCCAGAAGAAGAAAAACTTGCCTCAAACCTGACTCAAATAAAGTTATTGCCCTTCCTCGATCCCCAATAACTCAAAAATGGCCGGCAGGCATATACCTGGTTTACAGCAAAAACCAAGAATCCAATTTAAAGTACTGTCTCAAATAACTTCAGCACAAGAGCTTTCAGCATCAATATATAATCCAACATTTCCCACTTTAGGAGGGTGCCAACCCAGAAGCGTGGTCCATTGTCTCCCATCCCAAGTGAAAAAAAAAATGGTACTACTCATCAGATTCCTATCCTTGTAGGCTTCACATAAATTAGAGACCACAGATTCCTCACATAAATGTCTTTTGATATTCATGCACGTGAAACTAGGTTCTGTTCTGTTCACGGAGGATAAGGCAGACAGTGAAATAATATATGGGAAAGAATTGAAGAGACAAGATTTCTCATCTTGGAAAAAATAAGTGTGAGGGTACAGAAAAAGGGGTCCAGACAATACGAATACATATAGAACAAAAGCCCTTGGATGCCGATCTATGTGGTGTTTGGACATTTTGTGTGAGAATCTTTGAAATATTTTTACAAGGTTGGTTCATTGTTAGTACTCCATTGGTCTTAAATATAAGACCTTTATACATACTAGTATAAGAGTCTTATATTTAGGACCGGAAAAATATAACCTCAGAGAAGATATAAACTTCAAAAAGTTCAGACTTCAGACTTGCCTAGTTTGGCATCAGCATATATTACAAGTTAAAGCAAAAGCCAAAACAATTGTTTGAAGTAATAGGCACCATGTAATGATGGATATGAATTTTCATTCTGACCCAAGAAGGATGAAAACAAGTTTTTGAAAGTTGCACTGCACGAATCACGACATCTAACGCAACTCGCATGTAGCTAGGTTTTTTGAACATTTTAGTCAGGAATTTAATTACTAGTAATGTATACAGAGAACGTCTCATGGCCAATATTAAAGTTCTTTTAAAAAATAGAAAAAAAATTAGTCACTCTACCGACAACATATATCTTGGCTCAACCAAAATAATTGAAAAAAAAAAAAAAAAGAGTTGCGTTTCAGAGAGTAGACTATTGAACTAAGACGTTCACAGGGTTTGTTCTTAAATTCAAGCTAAGGACAATTTTTTAAGGGAAAATTACCCATAAATATACGTTTGGAGAATTAATTACCCAATGCTCTATGAACTGGACATTATGGTCCTGTTTGTAAAAAACATTGAAAATGAAGGATAGATATTAGAATTGCAATTGAAAAAAATCATTAAAAGATTATTTAACATAAATAATTGCTTGTTATATGAAATTAGGTAAACTCATAGAAGTGGGATTAGAGAATACTACTTCCTCATTGTATTCTCCAATCCCACATATATGGGTTTAGCTAATCCCATATAACAAATAATTTCTCATGCCAAATACTCTTTTAATAAATTTTTATAATCCCAGTCTCAATCTCTGTCCTCATTTTTCAATACTTCCTATTAAACGGGATCTATATGTTTTTATACAATAAAAGCATTGGTACCACTTTTGGCAAAAACAAAAAAAGAAGAAGAAAGTATTGGTACCACTCTATTCCTATATATGTAACTTACTTGTACCACATTCTCACATTAAAAAAAACATTAAATTGATAAAATATTTTACATCTGCTCCTATTAAACAAAGTGTATTTAAAAAAAAATGTTGTACATTTTCTCTCACTTATTTTTTTTATTGAATTCGATAATAATAAAATGGAAAAAAAATCATTAACGACCTTACAAACCACTTATATTTAATAACCAACTTTTTCTCACCAGTAATTTACATACAAAAATAGAGTGGTACTCCAAAGTCTAAAGATCTGATACTTTTTGTAGACTTCGAGGACCATTGGGCAAATAATTTTCTAAACAGGTACTATTATTTATGGGCATTTTTTAAAATGTAAGGAAATTACAATTCCCATTTTTCGGTACTATTTATCCAATGCAACTCATCCAATGATATGATGATCGAATAGATTTTATAAACGAGGTAGGGATTTAATAATCAAATGAACAATAACCATTTTGCTCCGCCAACAAAATGTTAATATTTCATATAGATTTTATTTTAAGGAAAAAAATTTGCACCTAGTCCTCCTCAAAAATTACGTTTGTCTATGTAAAGAATTTCATTATAAAAAATATCAAATATATATTTTAAAATATAATTTTACATTATATTGATTTTATAAGTAAACTTTTAAAATATACATTTCATAAATTATTAATATTTATATTAGGCACATTTTTTGTCCCACCCTCAAATCCCAATTGCTGTTTATGTTTAACTTGAATTATATATTATAATATGATATAATGTCTATGATTTTTATGTCAAAAAACGTAAAAAACGCAATGGCCAACATAGCCAGCCCTAGAGCCTTAAAGTCTAGGGCCAGGCTTAAAAATTTAAGCCCTTATATATTTAAATATTTATGGAATTTTGTGCTTTTTATTTGGGCCCATACCCAAGCCCAAAAAATGATGCTATGATAAGCCTAGAGCCTAGACGGAATGCCCTTATGAAAAAAAAAAAATCATTGTTACAACCAAGTTCAAAAGAAATTATGTGTTATTTTTAAAATGATATATTTTCATGTGGCATGTCTTTTCTTTTGGTAAAAACGTGGCATGTTTTAACTGTAAGGAATTTCTTTTTTTAAATAAAAGAGCAAAAATGATATTAATCAAAAAATAATACAAAGTAGCATAAAAAATAGGATAAGTTTATATTCTAACAACTTGAAAAAGAAGGAAGGCTGAGCTAAACTAGATGTAACATTTACAAGGATATCCTGACAGACAAATTTTTACACAAACTATACTTTTTTTTAAAAAAATAAAGGGATTTTATGATTACCGTACAATAATTTGGGCATTTCATGTATTATATGGAATTTGAAGAATGAATTACAGAATTCACAACTTATTAATAATGCACTCTGTTGTCAATTTAATATTGTTCATTGAACTTCTATTAATATACTACATATTCTTAATATAAAACCCAATTAATTAATTTAGAATAATTAATAAAGTTATTAAATTACTTTAAACTATTTATATTTATTATTATGTTTCAAATTAATATATAATTTAATAATTCAAATAATTATTTTAGAAAGATCATGTAATATATACCATAATTATATAATTTAGTAACTTTTTTAATACTTTTAAATTCGTCAACGAGTCTTGTATCAAAAATCAGAAATAATATTAAATGTGTATTTGAAAATAAAAGAAAATAGAAAAGTAAGATTTTGACTACAGAAGTTAAAAGTAAAAAACGGTACTTAATTTTCCCAACGTGAAAACGTTACAGGAAGTACACTTTATGAAAGTACAAGAAGAATTAAGGGCAGGGGCATGAATTTATGTGCAAGTGGGAATAAAAAATGAGTCCTAAATCTAAAGCACTCACTCGCCTTTTATGACGAGTACTTTGGGAGGCCTAATTATGGCCTCTACATTCATTCACAATGGATGGACCAAAACTCTTCTTCCGCAAAAATAAAAACGTTAGGGCATATCTTTTCTTTTGGGTAGATTATAATTAACCAACAAGAATTAATCTAATTAGCAAGAAGACAGCTCATGACTCATATAGTCGTGAGTTTAAATACTACTGTTGATATGAAAACATTATTAGTAAGTGATCTGTAAATACTTTTATAAGCGTTCTCACTTCTCAGAGTCTGGAAGCATTTTCTGACTTTAGTGAACCCTGAAATCCAACTCATTTAAATTTTTTGTAACCAAAAAAAAGATAAATTATAATTTTTTTCCGTATCCTAACTAGGACTTTTTTTTGAAAAAAAAAAAATTGAAAATCTCTGTTTAAAAATTTTTATATTGCCTGAAAGAATATAAATCTGAATACCAGTACTTTTTATGTATAAAATCCTGCAGACTATTCATATTTTCAGGTTCTTCTGACTAATAAAAATTTTACCAATTTTTCCTTTTTTCCCCTCTATGTCCGTTATAAATTAGTTTTTGCTGTCAATAAAAGATACTCCTGATCTCATGAAAATTTATATTTTTTGTTTTATTTTTTTGGATATTCAGGAAAAAGAATGTAAAGCCGAAGATTCAAAACATGCAATAAAAAATAATAATAATTTAAAACAAATTTTTATTATTTGTTATTTTCACTAATTTTTGGACGTGATTGTGACGAGTGTGGCGCTAAGTGTACGTACCGAAGTTGTTCGGAGAAAAATCAACGGTGGTAAGGCCACTTGGGCATGCGAGTCCAACGTATAAAAGAGTTGTCGTCATTTTCATGAAAAAGGTTCCTCCATTACCCATTATTTCAGTCTTTCAAAGATTGCTCAGTTCTTTCAAGTCTTGTTGCCCTAGTTATACGGTGCAAAAATTAATTATTTCTCTGTAATTCTAACTCAGTTAAAGCTCAATTTATGAATTTTGTCTTGGTCCAATATAATCATTATAATTTAAACTTTGCCTACATTCAACTTCTAAATTTTTTTTTAGTTGAGCTCAGAATATCAACTACTGCAGCAATGACTAATCCCCTCGTACTGTGGACTTATTCAACTTCTAAATTCTAATTCAGTTGGTAAATCTAATCATTTAAAATATTGATTCCTATATATT